CACCTGAGGCTTGACCTCGTCTTCGATGACACTTAGAAATGCGAGGTGTAAGGCGCTAGTACCTCAAGCTATACATATAGCCCCAGGTTGATCAGGAATCCGCGTATTGATTCAATACGCTAGATTCAGTGACACAGTAGCACCATGGGCTGAAGGATCAAGAGTTCTGAAGGCTAGCTATTTCAGTTGCAAAACGCGTACGCATAGAAATCAAGTGGGCAATACCTCGAAAACTCCCAAGGGTGATATGTTGGTCATGGGCAGAGCAAATAAAAAGGATACAGCTGGCACTTTGTACGTACGAAAGTGGAGCGTACACATATTTCAGCAACGCCAAATTGACTGCCTCATTACCACCAGCATAACGCTAACCAAAGCATTATGTGGAAAATCCTTCAAGTTCTAAACAGAAGGAACTTCGACGCCATTCCAGTATCCGGGTCCCATGTTTTTGTTGTGGATTTCGCTGAATCTTGACCTGGGGGAAGGGGGGGGGGTTTAATCGGCCCGCTGATGCCGATTATCACATCGTTTTTTGTATAACGTCATTTTCTGAGACGGTGGGTGTATGGTGGGAGGGGGAGGGTGAAAACCACGGAATTTGCTGGAACTTGGCCTAAGAGGGTTATTAGGGCCGCTGATGCCGAATATCAGATTGAGTTTGCGCGGTAACGCCATTTTCTAAGATTGCTGTGGGTGTATTGTAGGAGTGTGGTAATCGGCATTAGCGAGCGAATAGCTCCCCTAGACCAAGTTGCAGCTAAGTGCACGACAAAAACATTATGGAATCCGGATACTGGGATAGCCCCGAGACTGTTATAATTCATAAAAGTAGGAAAGACTTCGATAATGGCAGGAAAAGGATCTGAACTGAAATCTGACGTTAAACGGAAACGGCTCAAACAAAGTGCGGTGCACAGTTGACATAGTCGATGAAATGACGGAGTACAGCGTTTGCTTAGGCTATGTGATAGATGTGAAGGAAACCTGCAATTTTAGTTGATTTGTTACTAAACAGATAATGTAGTGGCATTGACTTACGCCAAGAACGAGCGCAGCTTGGTTCGTTTGCCGTAAAAACCAGTTCACGTGATCCAATCTATAAGACATGAATAACATAGATAGAACCAGAATAACATAGGTGTTGAGAGATAGAGTTAAGCCAACGTACAGAGCATTTGAATGGCACCATAGTTGTGATTATGCTCCTTATATAGGAGGTGATCGGAAGTAGGGCATAATTCACCTCAGCCGTGACCTCCTTGTCGATGACACAAGAAATATGAGGTGTGATATGCTGGTACCTCAGGCTATGCGTTTAGCCATTCAAGATTGATGACGAACCCATTGCTCTAATATGCTAGATTTCAGTGACACAGTAGCACGGGTGAGTGACTTTTCATACGATGAGCAATTCCAAGGTGCGAGGTGTGAACACCTACGGCTAAGTGTCAAGTCTCGCACCTCCGTGTCTAGTATACAGTAGAATGGGGGGGGGGAGGGGGACTTTTCATACGAATGCCTCCACATCATCTTTTGGCAAAGATCCAGTAAAAACTGGCACCATGCCAGGTTTGGGCCTGCTGGCTCCATTCCAAAAAAAACATCTAGATTAGCTCTTGCAGTACCGCGAATTTGGATAAATTTGGAAAACTTGAATACCGTATGGATTTTTTTATTTTGATAAGTTTGACGACTTTTGCTAGAAAACTGACAGAAATGCTTACAAAATTGCTGTTAAATGCATTTTTATGTGTTTTTGACCTTTAACAATTTTGTTTGAAATCGATTTCAAGATGATGAGATTGAGCAATCCCTAAATTCCCTAATATATTTCTTTCGAAATTTCAAGTATTCTGAACTTCATAAAACACTGAATATGTGCTATACGCTGCCCATCTGGCAATAGGAATTGCGCCTCTTGACATATCTACACCCACTGGAGGGCATGCGACTCGATAAAGCGAATTATTCATTACCACAATTGTGCCAGTTGTTTGCGAAAATGAATCGCTGTGGCCTGACGACCTTTACTATGATCGCTATTTCAACCCGATAAGCTTTACACAACAGATAAAATCAAGATATTCTTTACTTTACGCATTTTTGATAATAAGCGTTTAATTTTAGTTCATTACAATCGATAACTGGACGTATCACCAGCACCCTAGCATACGCTAGAAGGTCAAAGTGATCGGAGAGCGTTCGTATGAAAAGTCCCCCTCCCCCCCCCCCTCACCTAGGCGTAGTGGAGAATCTTACTCATTACGTGAATGGAGAGGCGCGATGTAGGTGTGAGGTAGGTGCGAAGGCTAGGTGCGAAGTCTTCGATCGTATGAAAAGTCCCCCCCCCCCAGTAGCACCGTGGGCTGAAAGATCAAAAGTTTTGGAGCTTATTCATCGGTAGCAAAACGCGTACGCATAGAAACCAAGTGAGTAAGGCCTTGAAAACTCTTGAGGTGATGTTGGTGATAGGCAGAGCACAAAAGAAAAATTGCAATTGGCACTTTACGCACGCGAATGTACAGGTACACATTTTAGCAGCGCAGAATTTATTATCTATTTCCACCAGTATTCAACCAGAAACTCTTTCAATTTTCAAAGAAGAGAACATAATCGGCAAAAATATAAAAAAGGTTCTGATAATGTGAAAACGGATCGAAAGTGAGAAAATCCAGCGCTGAACGAAAACGAAGCGGACAAATCGCTTGGTACACAGTGGACATAGATGGAATGTCGGAGTATGTACATGACCTGTTTGTCAACCTTGCGAACGAGCCGTATTGCCAGTCACGTGAAACTGTCGTGCTAGCTGAATCTAGATGTAATGTGGTAAAATTCAATGGCATTGTAGCACAATGTACTGGCAGACCAAGAGTTTTGAAGTTTAACTATCTCCATAGCAAAGCTAGCATGCATGAAAACCAATTGGGTAAATCCCTATAAGCTGTCGAGGTGATACTTCGTTAATAGGTAGAACACAGAAATGGTTGTAACTGGCGCTTTGCACACGCGAATTTAGAGCGTACATAGCCTTATTTTCACCAGTATAACCTCACAAGGGAATGGTCAGAAATCGAAGTGGCCAATTCAAGCAGGCTGCATACCATTCGATGCAGCATAGAATGCTGATTTCAGATCTGTCTTCCTTATCTGCAGAGCGTTTTTGTAGGCGAAGTTATAAGCCGTTAAATGTCATCATTTTGCTAAGAAATTGTGCGTGTAAAGGACAAACTTGGCCGTACAAAGCCATTCTCGGCTCAGTGTTGGACCAAAACGTGTAACTAGGTCAGTTCATATTGCTCGTACCTAAAGGTGAGCTAAAAGAGCAGTGATCTGCCTAATTTCGCAGTTTTTGTGGACGATTTTTCCGCAATAAAGCTGCTCATAACTTCGCCCACAAAGGCGCTCTGCAGATACGGAAGACACACTTGAAATCAGCATTCTATGCTGCATCGACTGGTATGCAGCTTGTATAGATTGGCCACTTCGACTTCTGACCATTCCCTTGTCAGCAACGCATTCTGCGACTTTTTTTTCAATTTTTGGGACAGAACGAGCTGAAGTTCACAAAGATAAATAAGTCTTCGATCATGGCAGGAAAAGGATCTAAGCTGAAATCTGGCGCTGAACGGAAACTGACCGAACAAATTAATGTCGTGCATAGCTGACATAGGTGAAACGACGGAGTATAGCATTTGTTGAGGCTATCTTTCGCGAACAATTCGCATTATGAATCCACTCCGGACTGTCCTCTTATCTATATAAAGCTGAATTTCTGGTTTTATGTATGTAAATGTATGTAATACGTATATGTGCGAAATAGAATTTTTAATTTCTGAGCCGATTTGGACCAAATTTGGCACACATATTCGGGGCGGGGAGCGTGTCATAGGCTACTGTTCGTTAGCGATCGATATCGATTTTATTGAGTTCTTTCGACTTTTTGCAGAGTTCACTTACGGGGCTGGGAGTTTGCTCAGGGGGGGGGGGGGTAATCGAGCATGGGGATTCCGAATACAAGATTAGTTTTCAGGATTATCGATTACCTTTATCGATTTTCTCGAGCTACGGGGCTGGGAGTTGGCACAGGGGGTCGAGCATGCTGATTACGTATATAATATTAGTTTTCAGAATTTTCGATTACCTTTATCAAATTTATAGATTTTTTTGCAAAGTATGAGCAACAGGACTGGGAGTAGGCAGAAAGGGGGGGGGGGGAGGGTAAGCGAGCATGGCGATTCCGAATACAATATTGACTTTCAGAATTATCCATTACTTCTATCGAATTTATTGATTTTTTTGCAAAGTTTGAGCTACGGGACTGGGTGTTGGCAGAGGGGATAAGTGAGCATGACGATTCCGAAAACAATATTGAGTTTTGGTATTATCGATCGCTTGTATCGATTTTATGGTTTTCTGCAAAGTTTGAGCTGAAGGGGTGGGAGTTGGCGCAGAGTGGTAAGTGGGCATGCTGATTTCGAAAACAACTGTTGCAGGCACTCAGTGTTCATACAAATTGTGGATCGAAGAATGTGCGAGATTTATGACATCCTGAGAAATGTGAATACATACAATGCGATAAAAAGAAACAAAAAAATGTCAAGTCAGCAAAAAGACATAAACAGGCATCGCATCGTCGCAAACGATGTCGCAAGGTAAACGTAAGTTTAGAGTCGCTCCAAGGCGTTCATCGACTGCTGCAGCAACGGAATATAGCGGTCATATGGTACGGCGTCGCATAGAAGAACAGAGTAACACATACGAGTAGCATCCTGAACGTGAGACACTTGCAACGTAGATGTGAATGTTTTTCAAATTTGTAAGGATTAATTGCAACTCACACGATATGTGTTAGTTTTTGCGTTGATCCTCCAATTGAAATACGTGAAACACAGGCTTGTTAGTAGCCTGACGTAAGCGTCCTGCTGAAAATAGCAAGAAAAGCTTTCGGGAGCAAGCTGATGGATGCAAAGCTAGTAAGTTAAGTACACCAGCAGCCTTCATTTCCGCCAACTATTCCGCCTCCATACCAAGCATTTTGGCTGCGACGTTAGAGAAGATTGACACCCAGATGGATCCGGTGAAATCCGTTAGTTCTGCCTAGATCAAGGCATAAAATTACAGAGAAAAGGAGAGAAGCAACGTACCTGAATCATATAAGCCCATTTGAAGGTGCTGCATGACACGTTGCACTTGCCACATCTATAGTGACCACCACTCAACTGCACAACTTTTTTTGAACATCCATCATTGGGACAGTTTTGCAAAGCAGAAGCGCCTGAAGTGGGCAACGGGGAAAATGTTAAGAAGGCCTACTTGATACAGCGCTGTATCCGTCCTGATCGTCGTTAGCATAGCTTTGAGATTTATAAAGCGACCATTGGGTGAGCAACCTCATTTCCAAGCTGGAGCGCATTCACCGTACCAATGAGGCATAAGTCATGATCTAAAGCAACTGTTGCAAGTGAGAGCGCCGCTTGTTTATAATTCAGAAACTCGAGGTAATTCGTAGGCAGATGTTTGTAATTCAGGAATTCAGTGCTCCCATGTATTACTTGAACAAACCGCAAAACCCTGAGCCTTACCTTGAGATTGTCACTTGCCAGTATTAGTGGAGAATAGGCAAATAGCAAAGTTTGAAACAAAGGCAAAGTCGGAAAAACCAGCAACGAATCAATTAGCATTGAAATTACCCACCGAATCCATCACTGCGCCCAAATGAAGCAGTGCTGATAGACTTAACATCTGCCATCCGTCGTTTGTTAGCGTACCATTCGCTCAAAGAAAGAGCACCATCCATCTGCGGACTAAAGACAATCTTCGATGATGGACCAAGCGCCAGGCTAAACGCTCCTAGAACAACAAATTTTTTTTCGAAATAAGTAAGGGGAAACAAACCCATCCACTCTTTCACTCTTGCTCCCTTGATAGACACCACTTCGCCAAGTACATGATCTTCCACAGAACTTGACTGATCGACCAAATGTATGTCACGCTTAGTAAAATTTTGGCCCTGTCTCGAGGTGAACTAAAAAATTCAGGTAGAAAGCACGTTAACTGCAGTAGTACCTTATCACATACCTTATTGACTTGGTGAATTTCATCAACGACCGCAAGCACATTGATGTTCTCGTTTTTATGACTTGGTATATCATCAAGAAGGCAAATTTTCAGCACAAGTGGCGGTTTTGGAATTCCCGCACGACAGCGATCAATCTGAAGATACGCGTGAAAGGAATCAGATAGCAACAGAGTACAACTCACTACAGTGCTCGCATTCATGATAAGCTCATAATCATGTCCAGTGTTATTGAAACGTTTGTTTACTTGTTTGACACAGGTACCAGTTATGTAATAAGTCTGTAAAAGATGATGATACAGGTGCAATGAAACAAACCGAGGGGAGTCAAAATCACATACGTAATCAAGCTGAATGATTTCGGACGCCCTTTCAGCAACGCAGAAACTCGTATAGCCACTCCATCCTTATCGGTGATCTCAAAGCTGAACACCTGAAAAGTAGCAAAAAGACATTGCAAGACTGTCCCAAATCGTGAAGTGTGGTGGTAAGCATGCAACAATCGTTTACGCTGCATGACGCAAGGTCTCAAAAAAGTGAAGCAGCCCTCGTAAAGTGCAATATGCGTCAGGTAACTGAAAGCTAATAACTGACAGCAGAAAGGATCCTATTCCAGAATACATAACCCGAAAGTGGAATTTCTTGAATTTTTCTAAAACTTTGTTCATAGGGGTTATTTGACATGCTGATCATGAAAATGATATTCGTTTCATGTGATAGTGCCCTTTTTGAGAAATTACGGTAAGCATACGGTATGAGGTCGAAAACTTCAGATTTTGCTGAAACTCTGTGCAGAGGGGTTATTTGACATGCTGACCACGAAAATGGGATCGTTTCGTGTGGTAGTGCTTTTTTGAAGAATTACGGCAGGCATACGGTATGGGTCGAAAACCTCAGATCTTGCTGAAACTCTTTGCAGGGGTTATTTGACATGCTGACCACGACAATGGTATTCGTTTCGTGTGGTAGTGCCTTCTTTGAGAGGACGGTAGGCATACGGTATGGAGTCAAAACCTCAGACTTGCTAAAACCTGCAGAGGGGTTATTCGACATGCTGTTCACGAGTATCACACTTGTTTCGCACGAGAACGTCTCTGTATGGTTACGGTAGGTGCATGGTAAAAGATCAAAAACGTAGATTCAGCTGGTATCTGGGTAAGAGGTGTTATTCAGCACGCTGAACATGTACATCATATCAAATTCGCAAGTTGTCGCCATGTTCTTGGGTAACGATGGGTAAACGTAAGTCAAGTCAAAGTCCCAAATTCGCTCAAAACTTGACGTAGAGGGTGTTCAAGAATGGTAAGTAAAATTACCATGGTTGCTCACTGCAAACGCCTTATTGTGGAGTGCGATAAAGTGCAGCGTATGAATAGGCACCGTTGCTGCTCTGCAGCACAATTTAGATACCAAAAATTGACAGAGAGGCTTTATAATGCGTGATGAGCGTGATATTCGTGATCAGCACATCCGATAACCTTATTTTTGCACAAAAATTCAGGCAGATCTCCAATTTTTACCCCTTAGATAGGCGCCAGAGTAAGCGACTATTTTGTTCAGCTACAAAAGGCGCACAGAAATGATGTTAATTCTGCGCAGGACCTGCAGCTGAAGCAGGCCTAGACATTAAGCAGCAGACATCAATTCTGTGCGCCTTTTGCAACTGAACAGAATAGTCGCTTAGTCTGGCGCCTACCTTACCGCATAACCACCACAACCTTACAAAAAGGTCTTAAAATGCATGAAAACTACAATGTTTGTGATCAGAGTGCAGAATGACAACTTTAGCCCAGAGTCCAGTCAAATGTACGGCTTTGACTCCATACCGTATATCTATTTGATACAGGGAGACGTCTCCGTGCGGGAAAAGTGTAATAGTCAGCAAGTTAAATAACCCTCTGCACAGAGTTTCAGCAGGATCTGAGGTTTTTAACAACATACCGTATGCCTATCGTAACTCCTCAAAAAGGCACTACCACACGAAATGAATCTCATATCCGTGGTCAGCATGTCAAATAGCCCCTCTGCACAGAGTTTCAGCAAGATCTGAGGTTTTTAACCACATATCGTTTGCCTACCGTAACTCCTCAAAAAGGCACTACCACACGAAACGAATCTCATATCCGTGGTCAGCATGTCAAATAGCCCCTCTGCACAGAGTTTCAGCAGAATCTGAGGTTTTTGACCACATACCGTATGCCTTCCGTACTCCTCAAAAAGGCACTACCACACGAAACGAATCTCATTTTCGTGATCAGCATGTCAAATAACCCCTCTGCACAGAGCTTAAGCAAAATCTGAGGTTTTTGACCTTATACAGTATGCCTATCGTAACTCCTCAAAAAGGCACTACCACACGAAACGAATCTCATTTGCGTGACCAGCATGGCGAATGATCCCTATGAACAAAGTTTTAGCAAAATCCACGGGTTTTCATTTGTAAGTTGTGAATTCTGGAATACGCCACAGGAAGTGTTAGACAAGAAAGAGGGAGGAAAAAGCTAAATGCGACAGCAATGGACGCAACAGCACCGAAGTTCATGATCAGACAGCGCCTAGGTAAGAATAAAAACAAGCAGGACTGCTTGCCTTGCAACCTAACTCTCTTCATAAAGCTATAAGCATATCGAAAGAAAGGTGACCTTGAGTGCGCCAGCCCCAGTTCGTGAGGTAATGTTCTTCAGGTCGTCTTTGTGCGTGCACAAGCCACAAATAAGCCACTTGCTTGTATGAGGTGTAATCACGCTAATAGGCGTAACAGTGGCATTATCAAATATCTGGGCTGCTGTTGGAGGAATATCTTGCTGAGATGCATCAAATAGTATTTACTATACGAAGAGACGGGAACAGATCAAGAAACAACTGACATGTGCTCTCGTTCGCAGTTGAGGGCTCCAAGAAACGGAATAGGACTGGGTGGATATGAAACCATAGAATGCATCCTAGAGATAGATGATGAAGGCCGAAATTGTTGTCAAGTTGAACAACCTTATCTCCAGCGTGACTGAATCCTACAGAAAAAATCGGGTTTGATAGTAGCTCGTAGCCAGTAATAACAAGCATGGGTATCCTAGAATAATTTATGGAAGCAGAACACCAGAATTCCGGTACAGCTCACCCTGAAGTTTTTGCGCCACTTTTACCAATGTAACAGTCACGATTGATTTTCAGTCCAGTCACGGCAATAATTTCGCCTCCATTTTCTGAGTTTCCATCTATACCATCAGCAACGCATTGTGATTCTAAGCTCGCCGCAACAAATAAAGCTGGAACATGACCGTTATATATGAGGCCAAGCTCAAAAATAAAAACTAAATATTGTAGATAGGAATACAATACCGCTCATAATTCGTCAAAAAAGTCGCCGGACTGCGGCGCACTCCGCCACACTCTGCCACAGTGCGCCGGAGTGTGGCAGAGTGCGGCGGAGTGCGGCGGAGTGCGCCACACCAGGGCTCGGCACGAGCTGGCAACAGGGAAATTTCAAAACGAAGTCCCGTTTGATATTGAAAATTTCGTACGAAGTCCCTTTTGACCTGTTTTGAAAACCCGTCATCATTTTTATATTATGTAAAAGAATGTAGTAGTGTTGTGCATTTCTGATTTCATGAAAGAACTTTTCACAGCTTTCTGAGCTTTCTAAGTGGTCGAATCACATCTTGAGAAGCAGAAAAAGCCGATTTTTCAACTGCGGAGCGGACCGAGTGGTTTTCAAAATGCTATAAAACGCTGAAAAGAGAACATTATGAAACTGTTTTTCTCCGTATGTAATCTTTTACAGTGTAAATACATTTTATGTGAAAAAGTATGAAAACTTATGTGAGCAAAGTGTCGGTGCCAGCTCAGCTGGCACCCAGCTGGCACGGTGCCAGCTAATTCAGAAAAAAGTTGGGCACAGCTTTCATTCACATAAGTTTTCATAAATTTTTGACCCGCAGTTCCGGTCCACCAACGCGCATGCACACACCAAATTTGGTGTCATACTATTGCGTTTTGGCTGAAAACAACGCCTTCGTTTGTTGATGGACAGCTTGCCAATGGCATGCCGGTGGCATGCAGACGGCATTTTTGCGGCAGTTCTCCGCCTCGGCCCCTGTAGAAACGATATCCCCTTTGCTTTCCACGCTAAAAACGATATCCAGCTTGACCCGGTGCCAGCTGTGCTGAGCCCTGCGCCACACTCCGCCGCAGTGCGCCGGAATGATCGTCAATTTAGCCATATCTCGCTTCAGAATGGACGAATTCTGAATCCGAGGACACCGTTCGATTCAGCTCGACGAGACGCATCATCTTATATATGAAGCTGAACGTCTATTTGTCTGTTTGTCTGTACGTATGTTCCGAATAGAAAAATCCATTTCTGAACCGATCCGGACCAAACTTGGCACACATACACTTCGGGCTCCGGCGGGTGTCATAGGCTACTTTTCGTCATTCGATATCGATTTTTGTCGATTTTTTTGCAGAGTTCACCTACGGGGCTGGGAGTTTGCATAGGGGGGTAATCGAGCATGGGGATTCCGAATACAATATTAGTTTTCGGGATTGTCGATTACTTTTATCGATTTGATCGATTTTTTTGCAAAGTTTGAGCTACGGGGCTGGGAGTTTGCACAGGAGGGTAATCGAGCATGGGGATTCCGAATACAATACTAGTTTTCAGAATTATCGACTATTATTTTGGTTGAATTCAGTGTGCTGACAACAGTATTACCATTGATCTGTCGCTGATGATACATAGACAGTATACTATAGGAGTATGGTAGAGAGCCACTCTGATCGAATTTGTTCTAAGATCTGCTCAAGATCACAATACCACGCACAGAATGTCAAAATTTCCGTGAACTTCGCGGAATTCCGGGATTTCCGCCAAAATGCGCGATAATCCGGGAAGTTCGCGACATTTCAGGATCCGCGAAACCATGCGAATCACGCAGAGTACGCAACGCCATAACTTCCTTCGGAATGAATATATTCCGAATCCAGGAGCAGCATTGTGTTCAGATCGTCGAGGCAAATATTTTGATATACAGTGTGCTCTCGATATTCCATTTCCAGTTTTTTCGAATTTTTTCTGTGGAGGTCTTTTCGCAAGGATGTAACGCAGCGTCTGTGTAACATAAAGGATTCCAGTAAGCACTGTTCGATAGTACTGTCCTTGTAGGTTATCGTGCGTTCAAGATTAGCTGCAGACTGTCTCCCAAAAGAGATAGAAGCGTTGGTGAATTTTGGAAAAATCACGCGTCTCTAATTTCTACTCGCCGTAACTTCCTTCGGAATGAACATAATCTGAATCGATGAAAGTTTTGTGCTCAGTTCATCAAGACAAGTCTTTCTATATACCGCATATCCTTGATATTCCGATTTTTAATTTTCTCAAATCTTTCTGTAGACGTCTTTTCGTGAAGGTGTAAAGCAGCGCGCATTGCCCCTAGTAGACTCCAGCAAGGACCTTTCGATAGTACTTTTTCCGTAGATTACGCAGCGCTAGAAAATAGTCACAGGCATCTTTCCATAGGAGTTAGAAGGGCTGGTGAATTCTGGAAAAATCATGTCGTTCTAAATTTTTCTCAACGTAACTCTAAAATATGAAGCTCTCTTGCTAAGCAGATGTGATTTTCGTAATCAGCAGGTCGGATAACGCTTATGAGCAGGTTTTCCAAGATGTTCGAGTAATTTCATTTTTTCTCGTTTTACGCTCTGAAGCTGGCCAATGGATTTTGGTCAAAATGTTCATGCTCTTAAATTGTAAGGAAACTTCGCTTATAGAGGTTTTCGAACACGCTCTTTAGGAAAATCGTGGTCTTTGAGGATTACAGGGTCTTCTTGGAGAGATACGGTGAGGTGACTGTAACTGAATCACGAAAGCTCGTAACTTCGCCTCCACCTCTCACGTGTCTGTCAAAGAACCTGCTTGACTGCTTATAAAGGTTAAAGTAATTAGGAAGTGTGCCATCGAACGGTGCATGTCTCAAGCTCCAGTCTATAAAATTCGCCGAGATACGAGCCTATGAAAACACGTTCTCATGAATTTTGCTCAAAATGTAAAGATCGCAAATTTCGTCGAAATTCCACCGTGAGTGCTTGTATGACACTTGCATTGCGGATATTATGTTCGCTTCGCTCAATAACTCCACTGTATTGTATGGTGCTTGCGTGTGCTTCAGCAATTGATATCAAAGCTGTTTTGTGGCTAGAGCTCAAATCACCAAATCTTACAATAAGATCCATTAAGAATGTGAAAAGATTTGATCAGCGTGTTGTACAAGCACTCATGGTGGAATTTCGACGAAATTTGCGATCTTTACATTTTGAGCAAAATTCATGAGAACGCGTTTTCATAGGCTCGTATATCGGCGAATTTTATAGACTGGAGCCTGAGTCTTGCGCCATTTGATAGCACATCTCCTAGTAACTCTGAATAGTGAAGCAAGCAGGCAGGTTCTTTGACAGACACGTGAGAGGTGGAGGCGAAGTTACGAGCTTTTGTGATTCAGTTACAGTCACCTCCCGTATCTCTCCAAGAAGACCCTGTAATCCTCAAAGACCAAGATTTTCCTAAAGAGCGTGTTCGAAAACCTTTATAAGCGAAGTTTCCTTACAATTTAAGAGCATGAACATTTTGACCAAAATCCATCGGCCAGCTTCAGAGCGTAAAACGAGAAAAAATGAAATTACTCGAACATCTTGAAAAAGTACTCTGCGTTGATACCACTGCTGCTGATTACGAAAATCACATCTGCTTAGCAAGAGAGCTTCATATTTTAGAGTTACGTTGAGAAAAATTTAGAACGACATGATTTTTCCAGAATTCACCAGCCCTTCTAACTCCTATGGAAAGATGCCTGTGACTATTTTCTAGCGCTGCGTAATCTACAGAAAAAGTACTATCGAAAGGTCCTTGCTGGAGTCTACTAGGGGCAATGCGCGCTGCTTTACACCTTCACGAAAAGACGTCTACAGAAAGATTTGAGAAAATTAAAAATCGGAATATCAAGGATATGCGGTATATAGAAAGACTTGTCTTGATGAACTGAGCACAAAACTTTCATCGATTCAGATTATGTTCATTCCGAAGGAAGTTACGGCGAGTAGAAATTAGAGACGCGTGATTTTTCCAAAATTCACCAACGCTTCTATCTCTTTTGGGAGACAGTCTGCAGCTAATCTTGAACGCACGATAACCTACAAGGACAGTACTATCGAACAGTGTTTACTGGAATCCTTTATGTTACACAGACGCTGCGTTACATCCTTGCGAAAAGACCTCCACAGAAAAAATTCGAAAAAACTGGAAATGGAATATCGAGAGCACACTGTATATCAAAATATTTGCCTCGACGATCTGAACACAATGCTGCTCCTGGATTCGGAATATATTCATTCCGAAGGAAGTTATGGCGTTGCGTACTCTGCGTGATTCGCATGGTTTCGCGGATCCTGAAATGTCGCGAACTTCCCGGATTATCGCGCATTTTGGCGGAAATCCCGGAATTCCGCGAAGTTCACGGAAATTTTGACATTCTGTGCGCGGTATTGTGATCTTGAGCAGATCTTAGAACAAATTCGATCAGAGTGGCTCTCTACCATACTCCTATAGTATACTGTCTATGTAACAGCGACAGATCAATGGTAATACTGTTGTCAGCACACTGAATTCAACCAAAATAATAGTCGATAATTCTGAAAACTAGTATTGTATTCGGAATCCCCATGCTCGATTACCCTCCTGTGCAAACTCCCAGCCCCGTAGCTCAAACTTTGCAAAAAAATCGATCAAATCGATAAAAGTAATCGACAATCCCGAAAACTAATATTGTATTCGGAATCCCCATGCTCGATTACCCCCCTATGCAAACTCCCAGCCCCGTAGGTGAACTCTGCAAAAAAATCGACAAAAATCGATATCGAATGACGAAAAGTAGCCTATGACACCCGCCGGAGCCCGAAGTGTATGTGTGCCAAGTTTGGTCCGGATCGGTTCAGAAATGGATTTTTCTATTCGGAACATACGTACAGACAAACAGACAAATAGACGTTCAGCTTCATATATAAGATGATGCATCTCGTCGAGCTGAATCGAACGGTGTCCTCGGATTCAGAATTCGTCCATTCTGAGGCGAGATATGGCTAAATTGACGATCATTCCGGCGCACTGCGGCGGAGTGTGGCGCACTCTGCCGCACTCCGCCGCACTCTGCCACACTCCGGCGCACTGTGGCAGAGTGTGGCGGAGTGCGCCGCAGTCCGGCGACTTTTTTGACGAATTATGAGCGGTATTGTAAGAGAAGAATTTGTTCTAGCTAAACTCGGAAAGGTGATGAAAAGTGCTTGCCTGAGTAACTGAACAACCCATCAGTTAAGCGGAGTCGGAAACATGCCTCAGGATAGCCGGTGGAACCCTCTTCCAGTTTTTTTACGAGCTAAACGCATTGTTCGTACAAAAAAAAAGCAATCGAAAAACTGCGAAAACATACAGTAACTTGAAGAATGGGAATTTCTTTGTTGGTCCCGTCGCTTTCGAAGTATCGCTAAAAAAGGAGATGAGCAATACCCATGTACGGATATACTTACAAATGTTGCGAATGAATTCTGATCCCTAATATATTACCTGGAAAAACCCAGTCGATAGACGCAGCTGCCCATTTGTATCGTATTTCCGAGAATGCGCTGGCGGATAAGCAGATGACATTTCAAAGAAATAATGAGGCTATAGATGCTAGCAGCTTTCGACTTGCACGTTAGCGAACAGCTACCAGGCTGGAGTTAAGCATTTGTTGATTTGTTGAATCGCACGTTTAAATAAACGGCAGATTCAATAAACGGAATAGCGGCGTTACAGCAAAACAAACCTGAAATTGTGGAAGCTGTGATAAAAATGGATTTGTTGCAAGATCATATCATAAGAGAGCTGCCGTAAGTCAGCAGTCGAAAACATAGAACACCATTATCATTCGCAGAAAGTGATGAGCAAATTTGTTGGAAAACAATGTGGCAAAATGTTACAGCTTATACTTGTACCAGAACAGATCAGATGAGCTTCAAAGCTTCAATAGAGAGGGCGTATACGAGAATCTTGGCGTGATAATTGACAATATGGCGCACACAACCTATATTTAGGTCACAGTCTCCGTACGTTTGCTGCAATCGTTTAGCCTAGAGCAAATGTTCTTCTCAAACAATCGCCAATGGCTACCGGGAGCACACTGAATTCGAAAACTTTGGGTGGGGGGAGAGGGGGGAGGAGGGACGCCCTGTTGGACCGATGGGTAAACTCCCGCCCTAACTGGCCTCGCCCTACTTGGCAGCCTCAATAGGAGTGCCCAATCGGAGATTTGAAAACGGTAGCTTGTCACAGAGGTCACTGAGAATGTGTAAGTTGAGACCATATTGTGCTCATTGTCGTGGTTGCGTGGTGGCCTATAGGTCCGGTCACAGTCGTCGTCGATGGTGCATGTCGACCAATGTGAGTAAAAGTGACTTAGAAGATTTTCTCGTATACAATGTAGTATGCTTAGCAGCTTTGGAGTAGTTTTTCCTGACAGAAATGGATAAAAAAACCTCTCAACCACAGTGGCACGCAAAGGGTTATTTTTTTTTGCAAAAATCTGCATTCAAAGAGTCATTCTTTTCTTACGCGGAAATCTGTGCATTCCAGGAAAAAGAAGAGATAAGCAGGGCAATTTCAGACAGTTATTGCACGAAATATGAGCATATGTGGAGAAGTGTTGAAGAGAATTGTGTGCGTATACAATGTAGTAAACTTAGCAGCTCGTTGCCGAACAGGAAAAGATAAGAAAGCGTTTCATATCAGTAATATTCGAAGAGTCTCTTTTTTTTCTGCAAAAATCTGTACCGAAAAAGTCATTCTTTTTTTTGCGGAAATCTGTGCTTTCCAGGCCTAAGATGAAATGAGCTCGGTATTCGGTTAATTCGAAGTGGCCATTATTATACTGATGGGAAAGTTCTACAAAGTCGTAAAGCACATACGGTGCTAAAGATCCAGCGTGCAATTTTACCTTTCTTATTAAAAGCAGAGTTCAATTACAAAGTTTCGTTGCAAAACTTGGAGGAATTTCAGAAATCGAAACACATTCATTCAAAATATGCGGTGAAAATTGGACATAACGTGAATTAGTTGCGAAATCAAGGCATGAGTTGCCGTATCTGAGCATTTCAAAACATAAAACGAGGTAATATTGAGGAATGGCTCTGGGAAGCGTGATTAGGGAAGAACTGTGTAGGTTTTTCAAAGCCATCTTGTCTGAAGCAAACCATATACTAGAAAACGCTCAAAGGAGACGCGTCGGAAGCCAGCTAATAAAAGCTATCGTGCGTCGCGCGACGTCGTTAGTGGGTGCCGGGACCTATCAGTCCGCTCGTTTCGGCAGGCGCCATTTATTCGGGTGTAGTCCGGAAGGCGACAAAACCAATTACGAAGGAGTGGATGAAGGCCACGCCCCCCAGCGCTCGGCGTCGCTATGCGCCTGCCGTATAGCGTCCATCCTTTAAATGGACGAGATGCATTTTCGAAAATGCGAGTGTGCGACGTTTGCGTGTTGGACACGGAATTCAATCTTAACCACTGTATTCGTGAAAAGGGATATTCAGCTGCTAATGTATTCACTATTACTACATCTCTACTGTGTATCTCGTCTTACATGCCGTTTAGGAAGTAAGGTATCTCCTATTTGGTTTCGTCAATGACGCTTTTCCTTATGAGTGTACTGTTTCACTTTCACAATGAGTTTGCTAATCCTCAGCCGCTGCTTGTTGTCACATCAAATATATGTATGTGAACCATACAGTGTGTGGAGCAGAAGCTTACTCACCATCGTTTAGTTCGTAATCATCCAGTTTGAGTAGAGCTGCGCATGTGCAACAGTTTTACTTCACCATGTCCGTGGAATATCCAGTAAAAATAAGTACTTGGGAAAACAAAACGAAGTCGGTTTTACACATTCATTATCATTATTTCAGTTTGTGCTGCAATTGCTGCGTCATACATGCTGGTCGACTGTTATGAAGTAAGTCAATTTTTTTTCATTTTTTTCTTTTGTTTTTTCCTAACATTTTCTCTCATACGCTACTGAATTCGAATGTCTTTTTGTTGAGTTTGCTGCAACCTCAGCCACTGTTTGTTGTCACATCAAAAATGTGTATGTGAACCATACAGTGTGTAGAGAAGAAGCTTACTCTCCATCGATTACTGACATTCATTCATTACTTTTCGAGTAGAGTATCGCATATGCAGGTATTTGGGTATCTGACTATCTCGCATATCGGTCAAAATCACTGTATATTCAAATCAGTATTCTATTCCAGTAAATGCTGTATTGATGCAGTGTGCCTGTTGATGCATAGTAAGTTGGATGTCAGTCCGGTCAGTCTGTTTTCGTTACTGACTCTGCTTTTCATGCCAGTTCACAGCCTTTTGTCAGTGATTAGGGGATACACTGTAGCCCCCTATATTTTTTGTTGCCACAAGAGATATGTGAATCATACAATGTGTGGAACAGAATTCACCCAGACATTTCAGACAACCAAGTGAGAGTATGCAGAGTTTTATCAGGTCCATTTAAGTGATACTTTCCATCTTTTCAATACATACGAAGGTACCGTGTCTTATCATCGGAGTAGACAGATTTAACTTGAGGGCATACGCCGTTGGCATTAGACGACTGCAGAAGGTAACAGATGCCCTCTGGGAACTGACATACAACTGCGAAGACATGCCCGATGGAAGTTAATACCTGCAAACAAGGTCAGATTGAATCATATAAAAAGGAAAGGCGTGCAGGAATTAACTGAACCTGAACTGAACTTGAACTTCAAAAATGCTTCTGGTAGTATTGCGCAAAATTCGGTTCATAGAAGCAACGGTTGTAGAGTGTAGGCTATCGGCGATATCTAAACCCTGGTATGCATACAAACAAATGAAAGTTGTTATTGGCTCACCTCATATAGATTTTGTACAAAGATGTGCATTCAGGCCGATGAATGGGTTGCTGCCAAGCTAAGTGGATATTTTCGCAGATGCTTCAAACCGCTCAACTCTAAAATTGGCGTCTCAAATAACTACAAATTTATCGTAGCATTTAAAGCCTAGGGCTAAGTACGCAAGCGTCATTCATCAAGGAATGAGGTTGCTGAAAAGAAGGGCACCTCACCTGGGAAAACCCAACGTACTCTCGAGCAGCATCTGTGCTTCAGATGTACCAGCCCTGAATACTCCACTAACTTGCCGATGGAAAGATGAAAAAATGGGAATAATGATGAAAAACGCCTCACCTAGGGAAAGCAATGTCCTGTTAAGCAGCATATGTGTCTGTAATGTACCAGTCCTGAAAACTCCACTATTACCAAATAAAAAGATGAAAAAAGATGGTAAGAATGGTGGGGAAACATCAAATGAAAAAAGGCACACCTTAGAAGAAACGTGCTATCGAGCAGCATGTGTATTTCGGATGTAGCAGCGCTGAATACTCAACACTTGCCGATGGAAAGATGAAAAAAATGGGAAGAATGAAGAAAAACGCCTCACCTGGGAAAAGCAATGTCCTGTTCAGCAGCATATGTGTCTGTGATGTACCAGCCCTAAAAACTCCACTATTACCAAATAAAATTACCAAATCGACACAGAAGAGATGTAGTAATAGTGAATACATTAGCAGCTGAATATCCCTTTTCACGAATACAGTGGTTAAGATTGAATTCCGTGTCCAACACGCAAACGTCGCACACTCGCATTTTCGAAAATGCATCTCGTCCATTTAAAGGATGGACGCTATACGGCAGGCGCATAGCGACGCCGAGCGCTGGGGGGCGTGGCCTTCATCCACTCCTTCGTAATTGGTTTTGTCGCCTTCCGGACTACACCCGAATAAATGGCGCCTGCCGAAACGAGCGGACTGATAGGTCCCGGCACCCACTAACGACGTCGCGCGACGCACGATAGCTTTTATTAGCTGGCTTCCGACGCGTCTCCTTTGAGCGTTTTCTAGTATATGGTTTGCTTCAGACAAGATGGCTTTGAAAAACCTACACAGTTCTTCCCTAATCACGCTTCCCAGAGCCATTCCTCAATATTACCTCGTTTTATGTTTTGAAATGCTCAGATACGGCAACTCATGCCTTGATTTCGCAACTAATTCACGTTATGTCCAATTTTCACCGCATATTTTGAATGAATGTGTTTCGATTTCTGAAATTCCTCCAAGTTTTGCAACGAAACTTTGTAATTGAACTCTGCTTTTAATAAGAAAGGTAAAATTGCACGCTGGATCTTTAGCACCGTATGTGCTTTACGACTTTTTCATCTTAGGCCTGGAAAGCACAGATTTCCGCAAAAAAAAGAATGACTTTTTCGGTACAGATTTTTGCAGAAAAAAAAGAGACTCTTCGAATATTACTGATATGAAACGCTTTCTTATCTTTTCCTGTTCGGCAACGAGCTGCTAAGTTTACTACATTGTATACGCACACAATTCTCTTCAACACTTCTCCACATATGCTCATATTTCGTGCAATAACTGTCTGAAATTGCCCTGCTTATCTCTTCTTTTTCCTGGAATGCACAGATTTCCGCGTAAGAAAAGAATGACTCTTTGAATGCAGATTTTTGCAAAAAAAAATAACCCTTTGCGTGCCACTGTGGTTGAGAGGTTTTTTTATCCATTTCTGTCAGGAAAAACTACTCCAAAGCTGCTAAGCATACTACATTGTATACGAGAAAATCTTCTAAGTCACTTTTACTCACATTGGTCGACATGCACCATCGACGACGACTGTGACCGGACCTATAGGCCACCACGCAACCACGACAATGAGCACAATATGGTCTCAACTTACACATTCTCAGTGACCTCTGTGACAAGCTACCGTTTTCAAATCTCCGATTGGGCACTCCTATTGAGGCTGCCAAGTAGGGCGAGGCCAGTTAGGGCGGGAGTTTACCCATCGGTCCAACAGGGCGTCCCTCCTCCCCCCCTCTCCCCCCACCCAAAGTTTTCGAATTCAGTGTGCTCCCGGTAGCCATTGGCGATTGTTTGAGAAGAACATTTGCTCTAGGCTAAACGATTGCAGCAAACGTACGGAGACTGTGACCTAAATATAGGTTGTGTGCGCCATATTGTCAATTATCACGCCAAGATTCTCGTATACGCCCTCTCTATTGAAGCTTTGAAGCTCATCTGATCTGTTCTGGTACAAGTATAAGCTGTAACATTTTGCCACATTGTTTTCCAACAAATTTGCTCATCACTTTCTGCGAATGATAATGGTGTTCTATGTTTTCGACTGCTGACTTACGGCAGCTCTCTTATGATATGATCTTGCAACAAATCCATTTTTATCACAGCTTCCACAATTTCAGGTTTGTTTTGCTGTAACGCCGCTATTCCGTTTATTGAATCTGCCGTTTATTTAAACGTGCGATTCAACAAATCAACAAATGCTTAACTCCAGCCTGGTAGCTGTTCGCTAACGTGCAAGTCGAAAGCTGCTAGCATCTATAGCCTCATTATTTCTTTGAAATGTCATCTGCTTAAC